AGGAATCACAAGCTGCAGATGCTCAAAGCTGGGTGCTTTCAGGGCTCCCCCCCCTTTAAGGCCCAGTGGGGGACAGGGATAAGCAGGGGCGTGTGTCCCCTGCCTGTGTCGTTCGGGCTCACCTCCGTTTGAACCCTGGGTGTCCAGGCCTTCTGGGGGGACATGTGGTGAGGGGGATTACTGGGGTAGACTGAGTACATGAAAGACAGTGCCCCCACAGTGCCAACCTCTAGCCATCTGGGGCCCAGTGTCTTCTATTGCAAAAATTGAGGAAAAGATCTCAGATTACCATTTGGCACGGGTGATACAGCAGTTAAGCACTTGGCTGCTAATTGAAAAGTTAGTGGTTCAAACCCACCAGCCACCCTGAGGGAGAACACTGTGGCTCTCTGCGTCTGTGAAGATGGCAGTCTTGGGAACCAAGTGTCTAGGATCACTGTGAGTTGTAATTGTTTTGATAGCAATGGGTTACTTATGCCCACATAGTCTTTTTTTAAATGTGCTAAGTTGTTAAGGAGCTCTGGTAGCGTAGTGGTTACGAATTGGGCTGCTAACCTCAAGGTTGGCAGTTTGAAACTACCAGCTGTTTTGCGGGAGAAAGATGAGGCTTTCTGCTTCCATAAAGATTTACAGCCTTGGAAAACCCTGTACAGGGTCGCTATGGGTCGGGACTGACTCCACAGTACTTAATAACGACAAGTTAAGTATTGAATCAGTTCTGACTCATGGTGACCCTATATAGGGTTTCTAAGAGATGGCTGGTGGGTTTGAACCACCAACCTTTCAGTTAGAAATTCAGTATGTATCCTACAGCCCCATATCAGGGCCCCCAAAAGTCAATCTTCATGATTTCAATGTTTTAAAACTATTAACACATAGTTGTGAGAAAACTAAACCACTTAATCCAAAGTCGAAGGAGCTCTGGTAGCGTTAGGGCCACAAGTCAGGCTGCTAACCTCAAGGTCAGCATTTGGAAACTACCAGCTGTTCCGCGGGAGAAAGATGAGGCTTTCTGCTCCCTTAAAGATTTACAGCCTTGGAAACCCTGTACAGGGTCACTATGAGTCGGAACCGACTCCATGGCACATCACCACCACCAATCCAAAGTCAGTATAACCTCCATTTCATTTATCAAGAAAAAAATAGAATCAGCTGTTTTGTTTTTAAATACACTGAGATAGAAACATATCATACGTGGTCAAGTCTGAGAAAATATGAACTGTAAGATAAGTATAGGACCACAGGTTGGCTTGAACTGCAAGGTCGGTGGTTCAAACTCACCAGCCGCTCCTCAGAAACGCTATAGAGGACTGCTATGGGTCTGTACCGATTGGACGGTCCTTACCAACAGCAAGGAAGAGTTGAGGATACTGATTCTTCCAGTGGACTCAGATTGTATCTGGTTGTTGGGTCTCAGCCAGACAAGTGAGCCCATCCAGGTCTTATGTGAAATAAATGCCATTGCGTTTGTATGAGGAGGGATTTTTCTCCCAAGTAATTAAGAGTGAAAGCTAAACAAAAGAAGTCTTAAAAATACTGGGAAGCTATTTGCTGTGTCTTCACCCTTTGTCCCCCTGCATCCAGCTACCCTGTAGAGGAGCCCTGGGTACTCCTAGATGTGGGGGGTGTCTCTACCTGGGCACTCTCTCTAACAGAGGCCTGTATGTGCGTCTGTGTGTCTGCGTCTGTGTGTCCATGCATGTTTATGTACGTGTGTGTCTCTGTCTTCTGTGTCTGAGTGTGTGTGTCTGTCTGTGTTTTTCTGTGTCCTATGTAGGGTCACCATGAGTTTTTGTGTCTGTCTGTCTGTCTGTGTGTAAGTGTGTATGTGTCTGTCTCTGTGTGTCTCTGTGTGTGTATCTATCTGTGTTTGTGTCTATGTGTTTGTCTATGAGTTATCTGTGTGTCTCTCTGTGTCTGTGTATCTGTATGTGTGTCTGTCTATATCTGTCTGTCTGTGAGTATCTACGTGTGTATCTGTGTATCTGTCTGTGTATGTGTGTCTGTGAGTATCTGTGTGTCTGTCTGTATCTATGTGTGTATGTGTCTGTCTGTATGTAAGTATCTATGTGTCTGTGTGTCTGTGTGTATCTATGTGTGTTTGTCTGTGTCTGTCTGCCTGTCTTATCTATCTGTGTATGTGTCTGTCTGTGTATCTATCTGTCTGTCTGTGTCTATGTGTCCATCTGTGTATCTATCTGTGCCTATGTGTCTGTCTGTCTATCTGTACATTTGTCTATCTGTCTGTGTGTGGACCTTCTGCATCAGCTCACACCTTCTGTCTCTGCTCCCACTCGCTGGGCAGTGGAGACGAGCTAAGTGCCCCGAGCCCAGATCTGATACATGGGCGTTTGACGTCTGCACCGTGTGTTAGCCCCAGCAGCCTGCGTGATGACGCCCCCCACCCCCGCTGTCTCTGCTCTATGCTAAGAACACACACTGACTCTCTGCATTTTATCTCTCCAGATGGGGCATGTGGCTTTGCTCTGCTTTATAGATAAAGTGGGGCAAGGTCTTTGCAAAGGTTAGTCAGAGGAGAGTAGCCGCTGGCTCCTAAGTGCAGGCTGCGTGCACTCATCAGATCTTTTGGGTTTTTCTAATCAAGGTGAAATTTGCATGAGATAAAAGGAGCCACATTAGAATGAGTGATTCCACGGCATTTAGTACACTTACTAAATTACAGTGCTACGCAGCCATTGCCTTATCTCTGGTACCCAAACCTTTGTGTCACCTCAAATCCTACCCCACACCCATTAATTCTCATTCCTTCCTCCTCCCCACACAGCCCCTGGCACCCCAGATCTGCATCTGTCTCTGTGGCTAGGGTTTCCACCTCGTCTTTTTCCCACAGAGTGGCCGGTGGGGTTTGAACTGCTGACACTTAAACCCCCACACCACCAGGGCACCTTCACATCAGTGGAGTCGTCCGGTCTATGACTGTGTCCTGCTATTCACATGGTGCACCCCGTTCTCGAGGCTGATCCTTGGGTAACATCCCTTGCTGTGGTTGACTCGACTCCCTTGTACAGATGGACCTTTGTTTGAGCCATTCATCCCCCCACTGATGGGCACTGGGCTGCTCCCACCCTTCGGGCGATGGTGGTCAGTGCTGCAGTGGACTCATGTCGACCTGCATTTGAACACTTGTTTCGAGCTCTTTGGGTTGTACACTTAGGGTGTGGTGGGGTTGTGGGATCAGATGGTAACTATCACCTGAGTCACCACGTCCATGATCTCCAGGCATCTCCTGAGCTTCCTTCTGTCTGCTCAGTGCGGCCAGGCGACGTGTGTGAGACAGACTGGCCGGGAGGTGGGGCATTTTAAATTGCTGGTCCTGCATGCTGTTTGGAGCAGTGTGGGAAGAGGTGGACAGTGTGGGAAGAGGTGGACCGTGGGTGCTGTGATCACCACTCTCTGGAGCAGGGACCAGGCCCTCTGAGGTCATTGGTCCTCCCAGTACGACACTGTTGTCCTCCTGCTGGTCCTTCCAGCTCTTAACCCCAGAACCAAATCCCCGAGGTCAAAGGGCCATTGCTTTTGACGAAAGGCAGTGAAGTGGGATGTGTGTTAAATTGAGCCAGTGGGGACTCTGGACTCAGGGAGGGAGAGGGGCTGTGTGCTGGCGGCCAGGGGGCAAGCATGTGGGGTGTACCCTTTGATTGTTTGATGATGCATGCAGGGAATTGTGATCCTTGCAAGGAAACAAAATACGATAGGATGAATGTAAAGATAATGTTCTCCCACATAAACTAACACAAAATTCACAATAAAAACTTCTAATTGAGCCAGGCCGGCTCCCTGTGCGTCGGAGCAGAGCTGTACTACTTGGGGTTTTCAGGAGCTACTTTTTCAGAAGTGGATTGCCAGGGCTTTCTTCCGAAGCACCTCTAGGTGGACTTGAACCTCCAACCTTTCAGTCAGTAGCTGCGTGTATTGTGTTCACCATTTGCTCCCTCACGGTCCCTGTCCTACTGGCCCTGACTCCGGCGTCTTCACGGCATGCTTTAAATATGAGTGAGGTCTTGTCCCACCCCCGTTCTCACCCAGCTTGCTGATTACAAGTGGGGTTTACAGCAGCTGTAATTTTGTCAGCAGCAGCCCCCTTCATTAACACTCCCCAAGAGTAAATGCTGTTTATCTCCTTCTTCCCAAAGCGTCCGCCCATCCCCAAAAATGTAAATTATGACTTATTCCAATCGTGCTGGCTCGTCCGGCTCGGGGACCACCACTTTCCCCCCAGAAGTGCGTCTGACACGGAACCATCCCAAAATGGGTACTTGCTCACGTTCCCAGAGCAGGTCGCCTGTTAACCCGCCGAAGGCTTTCTATAAGGAAATGGCTCTCCGGCTGGTGAGGGGTGGACAGACCCCAGGTCTGGCTGGAGTGGCCAGGACACGTGTGCCTTGTGGGGTGAGGAGCTGGACAGGAAGCAGCCCTCGGTTTGTCCTTTTGGAATCGGACCCAGCTCAGGCATTTGTCACATGGTGGCAGATACAGATCTGGCCGACGCTTGGATGCCAGGGGGTCAGAAGCAGATACTCACAAGGGGGTCTCAGAGCTTTGCAGTTGACAGTGTCTAGGTTTCCTAGTGCCGTCATAGCAGAGATAGCACATGTGGCCGGCTTTAAGGATCCGACGTTTATTCTCACAGTCCTGGAGTCCAGACATTCAGTTTCATGTCGGTTCTTCCTGCGGCCTGGCTCCTGGTTTCTGGTGATCCTTCATGTTCCTTGGCCTCTGCCCCTCCTCCACGTGTCTCTCTGTCTAATGTGCTGTTTCCATAACTCAGAGGTGATGAGGTTTAGGACCCCCACCCTATGCTGCTGTGGCCTCAGTAACATACAGGATCTTATTGATAGGAATCGGACTTTAGTACATATTTGGGGGACGCACAGCTCAATCTAAAGCCCCTGATTTTGAGTTGCCGAGGATGCTGGGAGGCACAGCAGTAGCTGATGCAGCTGGGGGACTCACTGACAACTTCTCTGTCCTTCCTGCAGCCCCACATCGGCCGCCTGGGCCTGCCCCATGGGCCATCCGGAGAGAAGGTGGCTGTAGTGACTGTGGATGACTGTGATACCACAATGGCCGTGCGCTTCGGGGACCACGTCGGAAACTACAGCTGTGCCGCCCAGGGCACTCAGAGCGGCTCCAAGAAGTGAGCTCCCAGGGGCGGGGCTGGGGTTTCCAGAACCTTCCACGGGCACCCCTTCCAAAGACCCAGATTCCTTGCCCTTGGTTGGGGCACCTTCCTTCTGACAGGGCAGAACCTTCTAGAACAAATCCCCTTAGACCATCTGTCCAAGTGGTTCTAAGGCCGTCCCCAACCCTGTCTTCTTGCGCTACCCCAGCACTGGTTCCTCCGGCTCTACCCTCAGCCAGTGACCCCACACACTGCGGGCTGATGTGGCCACTTCACCCTCTGGTACCAGGGCGTTTTCAGCACAAAGATGGTCAGATCGCAACATACATGGCCATCGAGAGCCCAAACCTTCAGTTCGTCTTGCATGTTGGACTGAATTCCAGTTGTTTTCTGGGAGATATTTCATTACTCTCTTGAAATTGTTGTTACGAACTATGAAGTCAGTTCCAACTCTTAGTGACCCATGCCCAAGAGATCCCAACACCGCCTGGTCCAGTGTCCTTCTCACAGGCTGTATGCTTTGTCCAATGCTGCCGCCACTGTGTCAGTCCATCACGTTGGAGGTCTTCCTCTTTTTCACTGACCCGCCACTTGAGTCCTGGTGTGGAGCTATGAGTTAATGTGCTGGATCGCAAGGTCGGCGGTTCAAGCTCATCTGCCGCTCCTTGGAAACCCTATACAGGGTCGTTATGGGTCGGAACCGACTCAACAACATTTCACAACAACTTGACCAAGCATGATGTCCTTCAGGGACAATATGTCCGAAGAACCTGAGACAAAGTCCCACCATCTTGGCTACTTAGGAGCACTCTGTACTTCTTCCAACACAGATTTATTTGTTCTTAAAATGGGCCTGATGCGTACAAGGCATCACACACCTGTCTGGCCCAGTCCCCCACCCACTGGGGACACAGATGGGCTGTGTTCCAGAGACGGTCGGGGTCTGCAGCTGGGACGCTGCCGCTCATATGCAGTTAGGGTTCTAGATGCTCTGGATCTCCCTTCGACATTGTCCCTCTCCCCGTGAGGTTCCCTAGCTGAAGATGCAAATATCCCATGTCCAGCATTCACTCTGGCCCCAAGGGTGCCACCCAGATGTAATGAACGTGTGGGGAAACAGAGGCATGGAACAGTTTGAAGGACCAGGGCGGACAGCAGTAGGCCCCACCTATGTGTTCTGACCCTTCACATCTGGGATTCAGCGTCTCTGGCCAAGGAGCTGGCGTGCCGTCCCAGCGGCGCCCGACCTCTTGTCCCGTGGACCTCGCAGCGCATGCCCTTGTCTCCTCAGGTCCCTGGATCTGACGGGCCCTCTTCTCCTGGGTGGTGTCCCCAACCTGCCCGAGGACTTCCCTGTGCACAGCCGGCAGTTTGTGGGCTGCATGCGGCACCTGTCCATCGACGGCAAGATCATGGACATGGCCGGCTTCATCGCCAACAACGGCACCAGGGCAGGTGGGTGTGGCCACGGGGCATCCTGAGTGCCCGCTGTATCCTAGAACTGACACCATAGGTCATTCGTGGGCACCTCCTGGAGAGCTGCAGTGTGAGGCAGTGCTGATGCTGACTGGAGGGCCGGGTACACACAGACTCCAGGGTCTCCAGGGAGTGACCAGGTGGAAGTCTCAGGAATCCCCAGAGTTCGCACATCCTCCGTTCTCACGGCTTCCAGAGGGTCTCAGGCCCAGCTGGTGTGGGCTCCGATTAACCGGTCTCAGATTTCATACTTGCAGGGTGGTGGTAGAGAATGCCTTCCCACAGAGAATGCCCCCAGCACACACACAGGGTGGTGCTAGGACAGAGAATGCACCTCTCCTACACACACAGGGTGGTGCTGACACACACCCCCAACACTGAGACCACCCTAACCTTCTGTCCTTCCAGGCTGTGCTGCCCAGAGGAACTTCTGTGATGGAACGTCTTGTCAGAATGGGGGCACATGTGTCAACAGGTGGAACACGTATCTGTGTGCGTGTCCTCTCCGCTTTGGTGGGAAGAACTGTGAGCAAGGTGGGTCCTGGCCGTCCAGCCTGCCCCTGTCTCCCCCTCTTAGATGGGGTTGTTGCCTGGGAGGGGCCTTATGGGAAGACCTTCATGGGGCCGACATCTGGCAGCCCCTCATCCCACTGGCTGTGGCTCCATTGGGGAGAAGGGGTCTGGTCAGGTGGGAGCTCGGATTGCTCACACAGTGGGATGAACCTTAACCCAGGAGCCAGGGTCAGAGGCCACATGAGGGTCAGTCCCAGGTAGGGACGCTCACAGGCCACCGCTGACCTGAAAGCCACTGGTCTCTAGGGCCAACACCCAAAGCCCATGTCCCCTTCACATGGTCATGAAGGGCACAGCCATAGCTGCTAGAACCATCCACATCTCCCCTACTCTCCCTGGACCTCTGACCCCCCCAGAGGCTCCTAGACATGAGCCTCCTTGGCCTCAGCGTGTTAGTGCACAGAGTCCATTTTTGTTTCTGGTCATCACCTGTGCATTTCAGATGAACAGAAGCGGGAGCTGAAGCCAGGTCGATCTGGACAAGCCCACTGTTAGCCTCGGGGGGTTCCAGCCCACATGAACCCATTAAAGGCACTGAGCAGGCCTGCCCAACCCCAATGACCTGGATTCAGGCAGAACCTGCTCTGCTCTGAGAGTCGGGGCCTGCTGGGCGGAGCTGGTTTGAGGTGCTCTGCACCCCATGAGTCAGTGGGGGTCTACACATGACTATTTGGGGGGTGTTGTCCATGGCTTTCCTCCAATTCTCAGAGGACTTGGTAAACCAGTGGCAGGTAGGGGGCTGGCCAAGTGTGCCAGGTGAGAGCAGAGTTAACTCAGGTCATGGCAGGCGGAGCAGGCATATCCGACATCCCCACCCTGCTCAGGAAGTGGCCCCTTACCGTCTGAGGCCACGTGGCCAGGAATGGTGTGTGTCTGCAGTGTCTGTTGGGGACAGAGTTAGCAGCCAGGGTCCACCACATCATACACTGAAGACGAGTGGTACCCTGCCAGCGGAAGGACGGGCGGGTGCACCCAACCCCCCAGACAGGACCCCGTATGAGCAGGGAGCTGGGCATGGCAGGGTCATCCCAGTGGTGTTTCCTGTTATGGAAATCAGGAGCCGGCATACCCTACCTATCTGTGCCAAGGAAAACGCAGCCTCATGTTTGGGCATGTGAGGGCAGGAAGCAGACATGGGGTCACGGGGCGCAGGGTCTCCTGAAGACGGCCCTCACGAGGCCTTGTCTTCTGTGCTGGCTGTGTGCTCTGTGGCAAGGACTCTAGTCCCTCTTCAGGGAGACGCTGAGGCCTCTGATGAAGGCCTGGGGTCCCTTTACTGTGGCATCATGCTGTGCTCCTGTGTTTTACAAGTGTCATAGACCCCCCTGCCCACCTCCCTCGTCATCCTAAATCATACAGCCAGGGGCACTCAGCACAGGACAACCTGGTGCCCGTCCCTGGAGAGATGGCTGGACACCTGGTCGGGCAAATTGGAACCCCCCAGATGTCGGCTAAAGACACGTGAGGCGAGGGGAGGGGGAGGTATGCACACATGTGTGTGTGTGTGTGTTCGGCCCTGACAACTACCAGGCAGGTGTGGGTGTGACAGGTCGCTTGGTCTAACCAAGACCTCATTCACTGAGCCCAGGACCCAGGGTTACCCCACCTGGAAGCCCTGGGTCCCGTGGCTGAGTTGAGATGCCGCAGACTTTGGCCTCTGCTCCTGGGAGGGGCCCGTGTCCCAGGCATGGGTCTCTGCAGGGCCTGGGGGTGGGCCCCAAGCCCAAGCTGTTGGGTCAGTTCTGCCTCACGGTGCCCACGGAGGCATAAGAGAGCTGCTCACAAGACCTTCTCAGCTGGAAGCCACTCACCAGGTCTTTATTACCTGGTACCTCTGGGTGGGTTCAAACTGCCAGCCTCTCAGTAGAACCGAGCTCTAAGTCCATGAAGCAGGCCTTTGGCATGAAAATAAGGCAGACTTGGGCTCACAGACACACACCTGTGTCCACAGCCATGCCCCACCCCCAGCACTTCAGCGGCGAGAGCGTCGTGTCCTGGGGTGACCTGACCATCACCATCTCTGTGCCGTGGTACCTGGGGCTCATGTTCCGGACCAGGAAGGCGGATGGCGTGCTGATGGAGGCCACAGCCGGTGCATCCTCCCGGCTCCTTCTGCAGGTGAGCCGATCTTGTCCCGAAGAAGGGACTCTGCCCCATCACTCTCTTCCAACCCCAGGAAACGTGCCAAGAAGGGGTGCTTGGGACCCCCAGCCCTTTTGTCCTCCCTTCCAGCCGAAGAGGTGGAGTGGGTGGTCTTGGGGTCCAGCACTGGGGAAATCAGGTGCCTCACCAAGGGTGAAGGTTGTTCCAGGACCAGAGGGAAATCTCCCCTTAAAATTCACACAGTTTGTCCGACCTGCCTATAAACCAGCTGACCAATGAGTGGCACAGTGGTTAAAGCATTTGACTGCCCACCAAAAGGTCGACAGTTCGAACCCACCAGACCCTCTGCAGGAGACAGCTGTGGCAATCTGCTTCCATAAAGATTGACCCCCAAAGCCAAACCCACTGCCATGAGTCAATTCCAACCCCTCTCAATGCTGCTGAAGGTTCCTGAGACTAAACCTTTACAGGAGCACACAGCCTTGTCTTTATCCCACCAAGCAGCTGGTGGGTTTGAACCTCCAACTTTGCGGTTAACAGCCCAACACTTACCCTGCTGTTCCGCCAGGGTCCCTCTCAGAAACCTTATGGGGCAGTTGTACTCTGTCCTATGGGGTTGCTCTGAGTTGAAATGGATTCGGTGGCAGTGGGATTTCACTGGGGCTCCAATTCATGGTACCCCATGTGTGTCAGTAGAACTGTGCTCCATAGCTTCTAATAGCTGAGGCTTTGGAAGTAGATTGGCAGGCCTTTCTTCCGAGGAGCCTCTGAGTGTGCTCCAGCCTCTAACCTTGTAGTGAGCAGCTGTGTGTTCACCGTCTGCAGTGCTCCGGCCTCTAACCTTGTAGTGAGCAGCTGCGTGTTCACCGTCTGCAGGGCACCAGCCTCTAACCTTGTAGTGAGCAGCTGCGTGTTCACCGTCTGCAGTGCTCCGGCCTCTAACCTTGTAGTGAGCAGCTGCGTGTTCACCGTCTGCAGGTCTCCAGTTTCTAACCTTGTAGTGAGCAGCTACGTGTTCACCGTCTGCAGGTCTCCAGTTTCTAACCTTGTAGTGAGCAGCTACGTGTTCACCGTCTGCAGGTCTCCAGTCTCTAACCTTGCAGTTAGCGGCTGTGTGTTCACTGTATGCAGGGCCGGGGGGGGGCTCCCATCACGTATGTGCTGTTTTTCACTCTCAGGGAGGATAAGAGATATCACATAAGGGTGGGCTCTCTTTCAGAAAGATAACTTTCCTGAAAACCCCCTTTTGTCAATCTACACGTTGCCTTGTTCCCTTTCTAGCCTTTACTAATATTTTTTTTTAGTTAGGTAGGTACTAAAATTCCTAAAAAGTTTACAAATAGTTTCATGCTCTCTGCCCTTAGGTTTTTTGGTGTCATAGACCATCCCCACTTGCATCTCCCCAACTCCATTGGTGGGAACAATTACAAGTTTAATTTGAGGAAGGATAAGCACTGGACTGCTAACTGCAAGGTCTACAGTTCAAACCCACCAGTCACTCTAAGGGAGAAAGATGAGGCTGTCTGCTCCCACAAAGGTTTAGCGCCTCAGGAACCCTTGGATGCAGCTCACAGCCGTGGGTTTGCTTTGGGGTGTAATTGAAGGGAAATCCTCTGGTCTTCTTTGGGGGTCGTCCTTGATATCTGCCTGGGATTTGGGGGTATCTAAAGCACTCCCCCTGTCTGGGCAGTTGTTTTGTGAGCAGGGGTGGAGATGTTGGGGAGAAGGTATGGTGGGCTTACCCCACATCTTCCAGGTCTCTGTTTGTGTGTCAGTGGGCACAGGACACTCCCACATTTTCACCACATCTAGGGGGTGATTCTTCAACCACCAGTTGTTTGATGCCTGTTCTCTGACTTAAAGCTCCTCCCCTGAGGAGGTGGGGCCTCTGGGACCCCTCCTGATTCTGAGGGTCCCACAGCTACAGAATGGCAGCACGGCCTCATGGTTTCCTCTGTCTTCTAGACTTTTCTTCAAGTGTGTGCTTGTCTGTGTGTGCATGTGTGTTTGTGTGTTTCTCTGTATGTGTGCCTGTGTGCAAGTGCTTCTGTGTGTCTGTTCATGTGTGTCCATGTGTGCGTATGTGTGCTCTCTGTGTGTGTACATTTGTGCATGTTTCTGTGTGGTGTGAGTGTGCAGGTGTGTGCTCTATGTGTTTGGGTTTAAGTGTGCACATGGGTGCATGTGTGTGCTGTCTATATGTGTGTTAGGAGGCTGTGTGTGCTGTCTGTATCTAGATGTGCACATGTGCTCCTGTGTGCACATATGTGTTTGTGTGTGAATGCATTGTGTTTTGTGTCTGAGTGTGCATGTGTGCTCCTGCATGCACACATGTGTTTTATGTGTTTGTGTGTGTGCATGTGCGTGCTCTGTGCCTGCATGTGCATGTGTGCTCCTGTGTGCAATGTGTTCTATGTGTTTGTGGGTGTATGTGTGTGCTCTGTGTCTGCTTGTGCACGTGTGTTCCTGTGTGCACATATGTGTTCTAAGTACCCATGTGCGAGTGCATGTGTATGGTCTGTTGTCTGTGCACATATGTGTGCTGTGTTTGTGTGTGCACATGTCTTGCTCTTGTCTGCTTGTGCATGTGTGCATACATGTGTTCTATGTGCACTCACACAGAGTGCATATGTATGCTGTGTCTGTGTGAATTTGTTCACAGGTGTACACATGTGTGGTCTGTGTTGCTGTACATGTGTACACATGTTCTGTGTCTGTGGGATTGTACATGCATGTGATGTCTGCACATGCGTGCATGTGTGTCATGTACTGCCTTCTCTTTAGACACAACGTTGTTTCCTCCCCTCCCCTCTCCCTCCTTCACCCTATCCTCCCTGTACCTCGTCCCTTCTTCCTTCTCTCTCCTCACTTTCCTCCTTCCCCTTCCTTCTCTCTCTCCTCCTCTTTCTCCCTTCTTCCTCTCACCTCCTTCTCCCCTTTCTACCTCCCTCCTCCACTGCCCTGGAGCCATCCCTCTAGCCCACTCCAGAATGTGACACCCCCATGAGCAGGAACACTGTCGCAGTCCCATGTCCTCTGACAGCATCATTTCTTAGTCCCTGATGCTGTGTGTACCCCGTGAAGAGCAGACTTAGGGGGACCAAGTCCTGGAGACAATGGTACCCAGTCTCCTGGTTCACCCATCACCCAAGTTCCTGCGACATTCACAGCTCCTCTGCCCATGTCTAGAATTCTCCTGTCCAGCCACTGATTCGAGCTCCCTGATGGGTGGTCTTTGAGGGTAGGACGTAGGTCAGCAAGTGGTGTGACAGGGCCCAGACAGGAAGTTGTCCTCTGTCCGCCCACCTGCCCTGCACACCCACGTCAGCATTCATGCAAACCACTCCAGAGTACTGTGTGCAGTGGGTGTAATTAGAGTTGTCATTGTTTTTCCCTTATTAACTTGTAATTTCACCGGTTTACCACGCAGTCACAGAAGCTAGCTCTCGGCCCACACTTGGCAGACATGGTTCTGCCCGGGGTGGTGTTTTTCTGTGAGGTTGTTTCACCTCTGGAACAAATTAAATTGGATTTTTTCTGATTCAGGTGATGAATGGGAACGTTCACACTGTATTTGGCACCAGGGGTCTCTGTAGGAAAAAAGTACGCTTTCATTAGCCAGAAACTCTGTATTGTTTGAGAAATTGCATTATGTGAAGCTAATCCCAAAATTAAGGAGTGAGGAATCTGACCAGCCCCTCCTTTGTTTGGCTGGATGGTAGCCTCAGGATGTATCCTCCAGACCCCAGTAATACCCAGAAGGCTGTCCAGGGAAGTTCCCAAGGCTGGTCAGTTGGGCATTACCAGAACATTCCAGTTGTTTCCACACAGACTCTGTGGGCCCTGATGCCCTAAAAGTCCCCTGCGTAGCAGGTTGAACAAGGCCACGCCATCCTCCTTGCAGAGCTAACAATTTGGGTAATTGCTCTCAGGCGCCCAGAGCCTGCCCGCATTGTCAAGTGGGCTAGCCTCACGGTTGTTGAATCTGCTGGCAGGCCCGAGGTGGCAAGCAGGAACTGCTGTTCTACAGGAATCACCTTATTCTGTAGACATCATGTCATTTTTATTGTGTGCCTGCCGGCATTGATGCTTTATGAGCAAGGACAGGGGAAGACAAAAGCACGAGAAACAAACGTGTAGACTTAAATTAGCATGCAAAAGGACAAAGAAGCAATTTTTTTCAAGGTGAATCATTACCTTCGTAAATTGGCTGTCTTTTGAGGCCAGAATTCAGACAACATTATTAGTTGCATTGCTTTTAAGAACCGGTTAAAAACCGCTTCTGTTCTCCATTGCAATCTCTTCTTTGAGCCCTGGTTACAAAGAAGTATATGAGGGAGCTTCCAAAAGTGCGTCAATTTTTTTTCGATTTCCGGCGCTTCCCTGACCAGGCAGCTCAGGTAGGGCCGTCTCGGGGAAAAGGAGCAGACTCACACTTAAGAAACCTCTGTCTAGCAGACAGACAGCCTTTGAACAAACATAAGATCTTATATTTCAACATTCTGAACTCGTTTCTTTAAAAGATCAAATTGCTGAGGAATTACAGGCATTTTAAGCTTTTGCCTGCCTGCACGCAGCTCCTGCTTCTGCGCCTGTGCCAGCAAGTGCCTCTGCCCACTGCAGACCTTGGAATACAGGGCTAGAGCAACCCCACTTAGAAAGCTGCATTTCCAGAGAAAAGGAAGCATAAACTAACAAAGCCGAACAAATAGAGAGGGATATCGGCGCGGATATCAGGAAATTCAGGGTACCCACGGTACAGAGAGACTGAGAGAGGCATCTTTTACATCATCAAATACAGACACTACCTCCCTGCAGCCATGACCCCCAGCCCTCTACTGCCCT